TCCCACAGATGAACCTACCGTGAAACAAAGCAAAGCAAAGCCTTGGACAGTGAAATGTGGGTGCCCCTGGGGGGGGAGCGGAGGAGCCCAGGACGGGAATGGTCCTGGGGGGTCCCTTGGAAGCCTTTCGCTGAATTTCCCAGCGGACTGAGCCCCCACTTGCTGCCACCAGTCTCCTGGCAGGAGCCCCCCGAGGCCGCTGCTTGTTGAGGCGGGGGCACCTCCTCCCTGGGTACCTGGACGCCAAGGTCGGTGTTCAGCAGCAGGGCGCTGCCCTTTCGCTCCACGGAGAGGTGGGGCTCCTTCAGGAAGGGGAGGGTCACCGTCTGGGAGTCCACCTGGAGACCGAGAGGAGCGTCACCATCGGGGCCGGATCCGGCCTGCCACCCTCTTGTGGAACAGCCCCCCGGCCCATCGCTCTCCTCACCATGACCACGTGGTCCTGCAACAGCTGCACTGCGGTGTCCCCAATCAGCACAGCCACCTCCTTCGTCCAGGACACGCCTGGACGGCCGCGGTCCTCGTTGGTCACATGGATGCTGCGGGGGGGGGGATAATTCCAGAGTGACTTTGGGCACCGCGTCTAGGAAAGGCCATCATTTGCCCTCCTTGTGAGTCAGATGGTATCCAAACATCTTGGCGCATTGCACAGTGGCCCACTTATTTTTATTGGTTACTTCTTTATGTTTAGATTGATATCCCGTCTCTCCTTCAAGAGCACCCTCCTCTCCTATTTTTCCCTGCCACAACAACCTTGCAAGGTAGGCTGGGCTGAGAGAAGACTGGTCCCATGTCGCCCCAGGAACTTCTGTGGCTAAGGGGGGACTTGAACCCGGATCTCCCCATTCCTGGTCCAACCCAACCCTGCTGGTTGAGCGAAGCAAACTTCCTGCTCTTTCGCCCTCCACCCCTTCTTGCCATTTTGAAAATTGAGAGTGGAGGGCGCATCCATGCGCATGGCTCCTGGGACTGTCCTCTCCTTTTGGCTGCAGACAGAAGCCAGGAGCCGCTTTGTTCTCTCTGCACCTGCCCAGGAGCTAAATGGGGAGAACGCGGAGAACCCCAGCCTGCGACGGCCAGACGTCTCTGAGCAGGCTGGCGGACGCTTAACGGCAGAACTTCTGCTAAGTCGTTCAATGCAGAAGAGCTGAGATGCTGTCAGGAAAGAATTCCCACAACTGCTGAGGTGGTTGGAGGAGAGCCGTGTTAGGCTTTGGGGCCCAAAAATCAGGATTCTGTCAGCACCTCATTAAAAGGCATCCGCTTCCGTGAGCTGCAGGTCGCTTCTCCAGAAGCACGGAGTGGTTTTGCTGATGCTTTTTAACAAAATCCGTGGCTCAGAAAAGGTGCTCCAGAGTCCGGATGTTTAGCCACAGCATGAGAATCCTGCCTTGATTTGGTTTGGCAGAAGAGGGGGCAGAGACCCCCCCCCCATCCTCTTATTCTAGCCTGTAACCAATCAAGAGTATTGCTGGAATCCCTGCTGTGCGGGGTTTGCGGCTGGCCTACCTTGAAGGGCTGATGTTTGGCAGAAAGAACAAGCTCGTTCTCCCCCCACCCCTGGGGGAGCAACCTGGGCTTGGCACCGAAGAGGAGGGGGCTCACCTGAAGTCCCCCCCCTTGCAATCCTGGGCCAGGACATACGTGCAGCCTCCCTGGAAGTGGACCATTTTGCCATCGAAAGTCTGGTAATGGGGGTCACCGAAGGCCACGCAGGTGGCGGGATGCGGGACACAGCGGGGGCAGCACACGCCGGGGATGAGGGCCGGAGACTCATCCTGCCAGCAAAGAGTGGGCCGGGAGGATCACTGCTCCCTTTCCTCCCCCTCCCCAAACTGACCTCTCCCTGCTCCAGAGAGCCCCCCTCCCGATGATCCTCTGGCAGGGGAGCCGAGTGGCAACCCCCCACCTGGACTGGACGGAGCCCCACTTTGGGACTGGCTCTGAACCCCCAGCCCTCTCCCTCCAACTCACGGCGGCGCAGGCGGAGGGGGGGCAGCGCTCGCGGCGACAGTGCACCTGGCCGGACACACAGGCGCAGGTGGTGCATTCGTCCACCTGCCAGCGCTGCTCGGACCGGAACCCCTGGCCCATCTGGGAGCAGCCCCTGCCGGGATCTGGACAAAGAGACGGACAGGGAGGGACGGGTGGGGGGGGGGAGAAGGTGACCTTCCTTGCAAACATGCCGTTTCTGGTGGCCTCAAAGATACAGCAGCTGGATTCCCACCCGCAGCTCACCCTGGAGAGGTTCCCTGCCTGAATCCATTCACTTAGCTCAAAGTTCAAATGTGTTGGCTGAGCCCAGCAAATCAGCATTTTTTTTCCTTTTGGCAAAAGGAAGATTGGGGAGCTCTTAGCAGAAGACCCCCCGCCCAGGACGTGAACTGGCCCCAGACTCCATCCAGCCTTCCAGTAAAAAGGGCCCAAATTGGGTGGCTGAAATTTGGCAGCAAAGTGGCCTCTGGCAGTTCAGGATCCCAGTTAGCTGCAAAATGCATGGGAGAAAAGGCTGGAAAGGAGCGGGAGGTGAGCCCCTTCCGTTCCCACCTTAGCTGCCCCCTAAGGGTGTCAGTCAGCTGGGTGGGTCAAAAGAGTTAAGATGCTGGCCCCAACCCCCTGATCCAAGCTCTGCCCCACTTCACAGGTTGCCCATTTCTTGCTGGGCATGCTTTATTTTCTTACCTTGGCATTCTGCGCAGCACTGCCCTGGCACCCGCACCTCCACCAGGCCGTCCTGGCACAACAAGGGCAAACATTCCTGGATGTGGCATTCAATGTGTCCCAGCTGAACACCAAACAAGGGAGCCGAAATTAGATCCCAAAGTTGTGGGTCTGAGACACCCACCTCCAAACCGCGTTGCCACCCAACACACATTCTTCAGGAAGTTGCTTTCCCTTCTAAACATCTCTGGGTGGTACTAATGATGAAACAGCCGCCTCATAAAAATGCCAGCTATTAAAGGCACACAGAAGTGCAATTCTAAGCCATGACTATTGTCCAAACCGCAGTCTGTGTTCTTGCAGGTAAGGTGGCTGGCCCTGGGTTCAAACCTCCATCATTCCTTTGCCATCCTACAAGTGACCAGTGTTCACCTTCAATCTTCTTTTCGGCAAAACGGCAGAAATAAAAACTAGTACGGGGGTATCAACGTGGACTAGAAACGTGCAGAACTGAGAAATACTGCCAATATCCTTGGCAAGCCTTGGCTTCCAACTCATCATCGAACAGAATAGGCAGGGTTTGGGTTGAAAGGTCTGCTAGTTCTTACGTTGCACGAGCAGGACACACAGCCGTCCGCACTGTCCTTCCAGGTCTCCCCGTCGGACACGCGCCGTCCGTCACCCTCGATCACGCATTCTGCAAAAAGGAGGAATCAAACAGTCAATGTTCCCTAGTTCAAAGGAGGAAACATCTACTCAAGCAGGTCCAGCTGGGTGGCAGCATCTGGCCCACCTTGATTAAGTTCTAGTGCAATCAAGGTTCAGCAACGCGGGGCTCATTTTTGGAAAGGGGACCCCTAGGACGTCTCAGGGCTGTGGGCTAGACCAGGAGACTACGTCCTAGAGGGAGGCCCATGAAAATCACTTCTGCGTCATGTTCCCAAACTGCACGAACCTGTCCATGGCCTAACAATGAGCTGAACTTAAAGGAGACCTTCTTGGACCATGGTTGTATATCTGTTTAGGCCAGTGTTTCTCAACCTCAGCTGCTGTAAGATGGGTGGACTTCATCGGCCAGAATTCTCCAGCCGGCGTCCTTCAGAGTCACCTCCTGGTCAAGACCAGAAGCCAACATCAACAGCCAACCCACTGAGTTTGATTCGTAAATACATATTGTAAAAATTACCAGCTGGTAAGCCTAAACCAGTGTTTCTCAACTTCGGCCACTGTAAGATGGGTGGACTTC